TCAAGAACCCTACCCAAAGCTTTGTAAGTGGTTGAAGTACAGTAGGGACCAGACTCACAAGACTCGTAAAATTGGCGAGGAAAGGGAGAACACATCTCAATTAATTGAATGAGGGAGATAATCAATTTCCCCTCACCTTCTAAGGGTGAGCATGGATGGGATATCCGATCCAAAATTGGGTTTTGGTCCGATATCCATATTTGAAAATTCTCAAATCTGATATCCGTATCCGATTTGAAACTTTTTGGATATCCGAAAATTTTGGATCGGATAGTTCGGTACCCAATATCCGAACCTATTTAATGTCAATTTTTTTTAAGGGCATTGATATATTCATTGAATTAAACTTGTGCTAGAAAATAAATAATGAATCAATTCTCTAAATAAATTAATTCATTGCTACTTAAATCAGAAGAAGATTAAATAGACTAGAAATTTTAATCCAACAAACAATTTTGGAAAATTACAACAATGAAATTTTACACACCATGTACAAAACAAAGAATTTTGACCAAAATAGGTAAACTAACTGTAACAAAATACAAAACAAAGAAATTTAATTGTCAATGAGGAAAAAGCCATTGTTGGTGAAGCTTGAGCTAGCGATGATGCGTATGGTTGCATGTTGTTGTTGTAGTTGTTGTTGCGATTGTTGATGACGATGGTTGGAGTTGTTGCAAGGGCTGCTAGTGAAGCAGCCGTGAGAATCGAAGAAGGAGTGCAGTGGGGTTGTAGAGACTAAAGGAGGAGAATAGAGGATAAAGAGGAGATAGAGAGGGGGCAGTGAGGATGAGAAAGACGAAAGAGGAGAGAGAAGATAGAAAAAGAAGGGGCAGAGGGGCGGTGGGGGTTAGGAGTTGAGGGAATGAATTAGGGTTTGCTGGTTTGGTTACTTGGGCTTTAAGGGTATTTAGGCCTTTGGAAGTATTTAAGTCTTACTGGTTTGGGGTATTTTTTGGATATCAGATCGAATATCCGATATCTGAAAATCCGATTTTTTTCGGATATCCCGAAATTCAATATTTCAGTATCCGATATTTGATTTTTTCGAATCGGATATCCGATTCGAAATTGATTTCGGATCAGTTATCCATAATTTTTGGATCAAATATAGATTGGATTTTTGGATAGTTTTTCTAAGCCTTATCACCTTCGCATCAATGTCCATGTAAGCTTCATTGAGGGGAGTAAGGTTCACCATTTTGTCGGGGACTCAATTTGTGCAAGATCTGAGTAATGAAGAGTCAATCTGGAGAGAGAAAGTGGAGAAATAGAAGGATGAAGAGGAGAGAGAAAGATGTAGTAGATGAACTAGGGTTCATCTGGAGAAATCTCCAAAAAAAAAAAAAAGGAAACCCAACCATCGAAATTAATTTTTGTGGTTGGGAATATGAGTAAATGAGAGTAGTTGGGGGGAATTGGGATAATAAATGGAGGGGGTAATTAGATTAGGGAAATCTGATTAGTTTAGGTTAATATGATTAAAATAAGAAAAGGGTAAAATTTAGAAAATCGGATTTTTTCAGTAAGGGTAAGAATGTAAATTTCAGCTTTTTTTTTATACTAAAAATAGTAAGTAAACAGAAAGTTGCACATTACTCCGATCATCCCGAAATGAAAAAAGTTGCACAAAACTATTAACGGAGGTAGTAAAAGTGTTGAGTAATAAGGTTTTGATGATTGTAAACTAATGATGATTATCTATCTAACGTGTATGTTAAGTTATGCATAGAAAGAGCAAGTTATGCTTGGAACATGATACAAGGAACCTGAGTAATGACAGGTATATATGTAAGGAACTTGAGCAATATATGATAAGCAATAGAAGAACAAGAACAATGATGAGTGTTATGGTTGATAAGCATGATGATGGCTAAGGAACCATGAAGGTAACTATGTAAATAGGTGTTTGCATAAGTTAGCTTCATGAGGTAAGTACACTATGCATACATGAGTTGTATATGTGTAGGAGTATTTACATAAGCTTTAAGTTTAAGAAACAAACTTCAATCTAATGTTTCTTTTAAGTGTTTATGTGAAGACAGGAACTGACTTAGGTGAAGTCAATGGGTTGGAACATAGAAGACTTCAAGAGGAACAAGAGAGAATGAATGAACCTAAAGCAGGTTCTCCCACGAGAACCAAACCACAAAGGAACTTGAAGGTATTCTCTAACAAGATCCAGAAGAAACTTTCGGCAGGCTTTCTCACGAAAGCCGGAGCATGTTCTGTAACAGGTACATGAAGAGTTCCATGTTCCCTAATAGGTACATGAAGAGTTCCCTAACAGGAACTTAGTTCTCTAACAAGAACTATCTAAGTTCCCTAACAGGAACGTTCCCTAACAGGAACTTAACGTTGCCCCGAGATATAGAATACATCAATACTACAAGATTCCAGAACAAGAGTTTCAAAGAAACAACATGAAGACGGAGAAATCGAAGTATATCGTTCTAGGATTCATGTAAGTATGTTGGACATAAAATTCAGTCTGGAACAAGTCTAAAGAACCAAGGTGAACTCATGATAGTCAATGAAATTAGAGTTACTGACTTGTCAGGAACTCAGAGGCTGTCAGAGTTCCAGAACCTAATCGGAACTTAGGTCTGCACGTCGTTAAAGGTCGCAGGTCGAATTTAATGATATAAATATTTACCTAATACGTGCATATCTTTTAGGGATTTGGTTTTACAGAATAAAAATATTTATTTTCTAATAAATCCCTTTTGGAAAAAGATAAGTTATTTTTGGAAAATATTTTCAGTAAAATAAGTTTTAAATAAAATCTAATTTTATGGCAAGTATATCTTTTGTTAAAAGATATGGTAAATATATCTTTTGTAAAAAGATATGGTAAGTATATCTTTTATAAAAAGATATGACAAGTATATCTTTTGTAAAAAGATATGGTAAGTATATCTTTTGTTAAAAGATATATTAGTATATTTGGAAAATATAAGATTTAGATAAAATCTGATTTTATGGTAAATATATCTTATTATTATTGATAGAATATATTCTTAACAAAAGATATATTTTTGGAAAACTTATTTTTGGAAAATATCTTTTATTTCTATCTTTTAATAAAACTTATCTTTTACGAAAAGAATAATTTGGGTGTACTATAAATATGCTCATATGTATTCATTCAAAGTTGAGGTTGACGAAGTGCAGTGGTCGTGCTTAATGGTTTCATCCTTCACCACGAAGCTAAGTCAAACCTTCAGGTCGAAGTTCCAGTCAGGTTCCGGTTACAGTTCGTCCTGTAAGTTCCAGACAGATTTCGAGTGTCCAGCATATTAGTTTTATCTCTTTATTCATTGGTATGTATTTAGAGTTATTCTTTGAGATCTTGTAAAAGGGAAAAAGGGTTTTGAGTGTTTTATGTATTGGGGTGTGAGAGTTCGTGAGGATTCTCGTTATAATTATTTTGTAAGATTGCAATGTGTGAGCTTCTAGGTGAGGCCGATTGAGCTTCTAGTGTGAGGCCGAGTGGGTAGTACTTTGGTAGTACGAGTAGTTTTGTACTTAGGTGGTACAAGTAGTTTGTACTTTGGCAGTACGTGTAGTATTTTGGTGGTACGAGTGAATCTAAGTGTGGTACTTAGATTGGGTAGGATAGGGTCCTATCAAGTAGCAAGTCCAGTGAGGAACTTGTGAAATAAAGGTCCGTGTCTAATAGGTTGTAACTTGGTGTTTGCCCTATTATAGTGAAGTGGTTTGTGTTTGAAATCCCTAAGGTAGGGTCGAGGTTTTACTTCCAGTTGGGCCCTGGATGGTTTCCTCGTAAAATCCGCTTTGCATTATCTAAGTTCCTAACAACAATCAGTTTTATATTCCGCGAAAAGTAAGCACTAGGAACATACTACAATTCACCCCCCTCTTGTAGTATATCATCCGAATTAACAAAAAGTAATTTTGCATGGATAAAAGGATTACTCTATTAACCTAAAATTGACAATTAAGTTTAGCTTGTTTTTAAATAATCAATACGTATCCAGCATAAAAATATTGAAACTCAATTCTTTTATTTGCTTACTTAGAGTTTTAATTATTTAATGATTTAATCAGATGAAAAACCGTTAAAGGATGAAAAAGTTAATGAGTTGAAGATGAAAAAAATATAAAAATATTTTCATAACATGGCCGGGAGCTCGGATGACAACTAATGTTATACAATACTAACGAATATATTGATATGATCATTTTGTGGCTAGCTTTAAGAAAGAATATTACATTATTTCTTCTATAAATTAGTACAAATTTGGGGTATGCTCTTTTAACTAAGATTTTTACAGTGCTTACTTACTAATTTGCCTTTGTTATTCCTAATTTTCTATGATTATACTTAACAATAATATTGCTTACGTTTAAGTTTTTATCTTATTTTATTTATTAGGGACCCGAGTATATTAATAAGTTTGATTAGCTTTATACTGCAGAAGTTTAGATTAATATTGCTTATTTAGTAGAGGGTTCGATATACATACGTAGTATATATTTAATTTTTTAAGATAGTTTTTCATATCTTTTAAAACAAATCAAATATTTGATGATTTTGTTCATTATTAAGCAAGAGTTGTTTAGCAAAATATTAAATTGCAAATTGTGATATATTTCTAACTTCCTATATACTTCATATATCTTTTATTTTCAATTGAAAAAACATAAAAATGGATATAAATAGAATATAATATCACCAAATATTGATAAGTTAAATAATAGCGCGCTTGACTTCTATAAGATGCTAATTCTCATTTTAACTAAAAAGAATGCCAAATTATGGTCAACGTATCTAAAATTTCACAAGAAATCCTATGTTTAAGCACCATCAATCCTATTTGTATCAAAATAACAAACAAAACTCACCTATATATACATAATTTCCCCTAACTTGTTTCCATATCTTTTCATTCTCACACCCTCCATAGTTTCAAACTCACCAAAATCAATGGCTATTTTAAATCATTTTAGCCATTGTTTTGGTTAGTGGGCTTACCATGACTCATATATGCTGGGCCTCATCCCTATTTGATTGGAAACTTCAATATCTTGCACCAACCAATGCTGCCCGTCTCGCGGCATTGCAACCCCCTTTAGTTTGGAACGAGACTCTTGCAACCTTTACTAGATCGTATGCTAAAGAGAGGGCTGTAGATTGCAAATTGCAACACTCAAACAACCCAAAATATGGTGAGAATATTGCAATGAGTCCTGGAGAATTAAGCCCAACTGAAGCCGTGGATTTGTTGGCCGGTGAAAAGCCTAATTATGATTATGGCTCTAATAATTGCAAAGAAATGTGCGGGCATTACACACAAATTGTTTGGAAAGATACACAAAGTGTTGGGTGTGCCAAAGAAAGGTGTCAAAATGGAGGCACTTTTATTACTTGCAATTATTATCCTCCAGGAAATGTTATAGGGGAAAGACCTTTTTAAGCATTTTTTTTGTAGGAGAATTTTATGTGTTAGGGCCATTTTTATAATTCGTCATATTGGTTAAACATTTTTGTATATCTAAAGATAAGTGCAATATATTGACACCATGTTTCATATTCAACCTTGCTTTTGAGAATTGGTGATATTGTTAATTTTTTTACCACAATGTTGCTGATGAAATAAAGAGGCATAAAATATGCAACCGATTAACTAATTAATTGTTAATTACATCGTTCTGTCGTTGTCGATATTGTCTAAGCTAAGATAGAATCCTAGATGGTATTAAAAAATTATTATCGCAATATTTTAACCTTTTAGAGTAAAACTAGGGCAGCTAACACGCGATAGTTATATTCGGAAGTTCTTTCGGTTTGGCCTTAAATCCCAAATTTAATTGTTGATACGTAAACAATTATGTTCACAGGTATAAATGTCCAAGACAATTAACATTCATGATAGAAAAATAAGTAATTAAACATTTTTGAGGGTATAACTGTCCAAACACTTTTCATCAATAAAAACTTGTACATATTAATCACATTTCATAAGAGTAATCTTATACTTTTTAACTATAGTATAGTATCCGTGCGTTGCACAGTGGTGATAAGTAATTTTTCCTTATTTCTTTTATATATTTTGTTGTTAATATCATTTTAAAATAACTTCGCTTGCTTTTTTTTTTAAATAAAAAATAAAAAAATTGGTATATAAATATTTTTAAAAATATGTACATAGTGCTTTTTTAAAATGGTTATTATTTATTGTTGCATTATAATATTTACTACAATGTTATGTAATTTTTTTTTATAATGATGGTTAGCCAAAATATATTTAATATTTCATCATCTATATGTTTAGAGTGGTAGCTTAAAAATTGTATATAATTGGCTATCAATATCTAACATTGTTGTATATTAAAAAGATTCAAAAGTATTAATGAGTATACAACAATATTGATGGTTTCAAAAAAAAAAAATACAACAATATTGATGTCAAAGTCAAGTTTCATATATTTAGTTTTAAACCTACTTAATCCTAAAATCTATCAAGTAAAAGGAAGGGGAAAAAATTTAAATCTATAAATAAACTAAAATAACAACCGTTGACATCATCATTTTTTCAAATGGTACACATGTCATGTTGTGCTTAAAAATTTTCCCGCCTAAATTAATTGCTGACATCATATTTTTATTTTTATTTTTATTTTTTTATCTTAAATTATTACAATAGTTTTTTTTAAAAAAAAACAATTACTATATTATATTATATTTCATATATTATATTATGATGAATTTATGAGTTACTATTTGGCTTCAAAATATAAATACTCCCGGTCAAAGATTACTTTGTATTACATAATTTACTTAAATATATACTCTTCTTCAAAATTAGTTAGATCTAAATAGCATTGTAATTAATGGTTATGTTTTTATAATCTATCTCATACGAGGGACATATGTAAAATAAATATTTATTTCAAAGAAATTTTTTATGTCGTAAATCACACGAGGCTTATCCAAAATATGTGTTAAAAGTCTATAATTCAGTTCTTATTATAAAACCGTGCGTCGCACGGGATTAACCTAGTAAAAAAATAAATTGATGATCTCATAAGTAAATATGGAGGGAAATTTTTTAATAAGAGCTCGACACGTAGGACACTTTAAGAATTGATGACATCAACACGTTTAGTTTTAGTAATAGTTAATAGATAGATTGTAGGGATATATAGTGTCTTTGTTTCAAAACAAATGACCCAATTGACTGATACATTTGTCTTTATTTATTATTTTTTTTTATTTTTTTAATGCAAACGAGGGCATAGTAGCCCAACATTACAAAACAACTGAGAAATAAAATGAGGAGTAGTAACCCGTAAGATGTCCTCCCTGACTGATACATTTGTCATTGTAAACTTTAGCCCTTATTATTTTAAATTATCAATAAGTTTAAATTGTAAAATTGATATTCAAAACTATACATTGAAACTATTTTAGTAAGTGCCACATAACATTTAGCATTGAAACAATTTTGTTTTTGAAAGTACGTGACATTTCACATTTAAATTTTTAAAACATAGAAAAAAAAAGTCAAAGTGTGTTAAGCTTGTTCAATTTTTTTTTTTTTATTTTTTTATTTGAACGGAAAGTAACACTATCATTAAATAATAGTCATACGACATGTGCAATAATAAAGATCTATAAACCACAGATTTAGAGAAAATATCAATTTTTTTTTTGGTGAAGCCGAGGGGCAAGCCCAAAAAGAGAAAGGAAAACTACAAAGAAAACCAAAAAGAACGAAGAAATAAAAGCAACATAAAAAACAAAAACAAAGAAACTACTATTATTCTCCTGGCTAATCCGTCGGCTTAGGGACCATCCTCGGAATAGCCACACCACTAAGGTCCTCCAATAAAACGGTCTGAAGATCCCTCTGGACCGCTTTCAAAGATGACCAATTTTTGCTCCAAATTTACCCCATAGTTAGCCAACCAATCAGCTACTCTATTGGCTTCTCTGTAGCAATGTCCGATCGTGACCTCCCAACCACTTCTCATGATTAGAGCTTTACACTTTCGGATGATATGTATAAGAGGAGAGTTAGTTGGAGTCGGATCCACTAACAAACGAACCACCACTTCAGAATCAACCCGTACTTGCACTTCATCTTGAAATAAATACGAATACTTGGTAATACTGTAAAAATAATTTCAGTTTAATATGTAGTAAATTAATTCATACGGAGTATCAAGTATTTGTCAAATAATCAAGCTAAAAAAAAATAATTAATTAAGTTAACAACATCTTACCAAAAACCTAGATCTGTCCTCTTTCTCTCTCTTAGTTTTCCATTGAAGCGTACTCCACATTTTCCATTGAAATTTTCTATCTTCCGTTGAAGCTGCTTCTAAGGTAAGATAATATTTCTTTTTTGTAATCATCGATTATCAATTTCACAATCTAGGGTTTATCGTTAGTTCAATTATTAGTATACTCATTCAAGGGTTCTTCTAAATTCGATCATTGAATCATTGTTTAACATCTCTAAACTCGAATTTGTTGCTAGAGAAGAATAAATTATGTGATTTTTCTAGCCTAATTTGATATTTGAATCAAATTTGCTGAATGTATCTGTTAAATAGGACCTTTTTTTCGGAAATTTTGAGCCTAATTTGATTATTGAATCAAATTTGGTTGCTAATGTGTTGCGGAATCCTTTAATTTTAGGGTTGAACTATAAAGATTGGAACTTTTCTCCCTAATTTGTGTAAATGCGTAGTGTTAAACTGCAATTTCTCTGTAGTAGAAACTATTTGTCAATATTCTAGCTAAACTAATGCTTGCAATCATGCTGCTATTTTTCAATCAAATTGGCTACCACTTGTGCCAAGCTGTCATCCTGCTTTGTTTTGAGCATAAATTAGTCTTATCACGTAGGTGATGCCCCGGGTTATTCCATGAATAATTTTAATTATTTAGTTATATTTTATTTTGAAACGATTACATGAAATATGACATAGTTTAGCAGTTACCATTCTCTTGTTCATGACTTTGCAAATTGTTGCTGCCCATACTTGTAAAGCCTTCATTATACGAGTATTTCATGGGGGGCAATGACGCTGGAGCTTAACATGAATATATCTGGTTAAAGGACTTTGTTATCTAGCTGCATATCTTGTTATTTTCAGTTCGGAAAAGCTATGGATTCAGTCAGCCCCGCAGAACGCAGATACTTTGAAGACGATGACACCCCCATGATGAAAGTTATTAAGGGTACAACTAGTGGTCTAGCAGCTGGAACAATCTTTGGTACTGTTGTGGCAACATGGTATGACGTGCCTCGTGTTGAGAGAAAAGTTGCATTACCAGGATTGATAAGGACTTTGAAGATGATGGGAAACTATGGGCTAACATTTGCTGCTATAGGTGGTATTTTCATTGGTGCAGAGCAGATGGTGGAACATTATAGGAAAAAGAGAGACTTTGTTAATGGGGCAGTTGGTGGCTTTGTTGCTGGAGCTTCTGTTTTGGGCTTCAAAGGTACGGAGTATTCTTTTTCCGATGCTATTGAAACTAGTAATCAGTAATGAATATCTTAGCGACTTCAATTGTAATACATTGAAATTTTATGTGAAGTAAAACCTTAAAGCCAAATGTGCTGAGATATTATGCCATATACTGAATGTAGGAGACTAGGAGAGTAGGAGGGGGGAACTAACTTGTATAAACTAAAGAAATTAAGGTAACTGTGTGTTTCAAATCACATTTGTAATTATACTAGGTTGTTACAAACCTTTGACATCATATTTCAAAATTCTATTCAAGAAACCCTATAAGATTTCTATCTGCATTTTATGATGGCTTTACCTGGTTGCTTCTTTCCTCACCTTATTCCTAAATTAGGCACTTAAGGTTGTTTTTTGCATATCATGCAAATATAAATTGACTGTGGCTGGCATTTTTTAGAGTTAAAGAGGGAAGTTAAAGCCCTATATTCTGTATGCTGATTTTAAATAGCCGACACTTCCTACTCCCTTTGTTACTAATAATTAACTTATCCTACTTTTCTTACATTATACTTCCTATATTTGATGCATCACTTTTTCTTACTAGATTATCTTTTTAACTCATATTTATCTATCTCTTATTGTTTTAAAGGCTACTTAAGTGGTTGTATTTGCTATCCTTAATACCCGTGCATTACTCTGAAACTAGGGTTGCAAGCAGCTTGTATATCTTAATGAGTTTCTTCAGTGCCACATTGTGGTTTCATAGCCTTGACAATGATAGTGTGAACTATCCAATATAGGGGCTCACATGGGCTTCGTTCATGTGTATTTTGAAATGTAGTTTTCAATATTGTTATCATGTACATCAATAATTCAATATATAGGAACTTGTGTTTGAATTTACTTGAAGATATGAATGTGAATTCAGGATACCTTTAGGAAGAATCTCCCCTGAATATAGACGATAAAGGACTTGTATTCATGGTGTATATGACAAAAATATACAACTAGTGTTGTTTATGCATCTTTCCCTTGATGTTTTTTCCCTAGCCTTGTTATTCTCAATTTCCTATCTAGTTCTTTTCTTATGTCTTGATGGAAATCGGTAAATTTCAATATACACGACAACTTTAGGAACCAATCTCTCTTGAATATAGAAAATGAAGAACTGCTTGAACTCATGGTGTATATGAAAATAAGTATGTTAGGTTTTTCGTATTCTATTCGTAACTGCCCATCTTTCAACTGATGTTTCTTTTTCTCTATTTCCTATCCAGTTCTTGTCTTATGTTTTGAGTTCTTGTCTAATTTTTTATGGAAGTTGGTGAATTTCAATTTACTGCTTTCATTTCAAGAGATTTAGCTTGAAGTCTCTTGTATGTTCTCATCTCTGCGGTCTCCATTTTACACTATGAACCTTTGAAAGGTTGATGACACTAGGGTATTATGAGCTTAGTTTCCTTCAAATCTTTACACTATGCTTGATTTAAAGTGGTTTTATGCTGGTACCTTTTGCATACGTGAAAGATTTCGTTACCATCCATTAGGATATCTACGGTATTTAAAAAAAATTTCTTTGCAATACAAGTGTTGCATTGAAGTATTTTTTGGCTGTGACATGTTAGACCTATTGCTTATGTTACTTCATTGTCCTTAAGTTAGTTCCTCCCCCACCCCCCCCCCCCCCCCCCCTTTTTTTTTTTTGCTTTATCATTTCCACTAGAATGGTTTGGGAGATAAGAACCAAGAAAAGTAGCAATTATTGTTTATTTAGTTTAGTTTAGATAAGATAGGGTTAATAAGTGACAGTAAGGTCTAATAAGACCCTAAGTAAGGTCCAATAAGGTCTTATAATTGTCAATAATATAAAAATGGGAAATTCTCTAGCCTTCTACATTTGACTTTTATTATTGGTTGCTAACTTTTTTTTTCGATTGTATTGGTAGTCCCAAACTTTTAATCTTTACCTAAAATAACATTAATGACATATTTTGGTAAAATTTAACTTGATCTAACCATGGTTAAACCTCTCTCTGTCTCTCTACTAAACAATCAACATCATGTCACCATTAAAAAACCTTCACCTCTTCTCCATTAAATTCCAACTCATTTCGTTTTTTTTCTCTTTCCATTAAATTCGCACTAACATCACACATTCACTCCTCCTTTGCTTCTCCAAAACATCTTAAAATTCTAGGGTCAAGATAGTTATACCTCTAAATCAAAAGCTCATTAATAATTTCCTGAATAATCAACTGAAGGTTCAGCTGCTCACATGTCAACTACCACTGGCAGTGATACATATATATGCGGTTCACTCACAGGTGGTGAAGCATATCAAAATGGAGGAAGGGATTATTGCTTGTGGCGTTGTGGGAGTGCTTATTGAGAGGAGAAAATTAAGGTGAGAGATATAGTTTTGAGGGTTAGTTTAAGTTGACATTATGTAAGACATGATGGAGACAAAGGTGGTGGTATCGCCGGTAAATTTGCAGTGATAAATGATAGGTGCAGTGGTTGAAGGTTTATCGGTGATAGGGTGCTAGAGGAGAGAGAACAAGAATGAGGATGGAGGTGGGCGAGTTTGGTATGTTTTTATTCATCTTTATAATGAAAAATTAACCTTGGTTAAGAAAAGTCAGATTTATCGGAAATTTTACCCAAAAGTCATTAATAATCTCATGTTTAATAAATTGTAGTAGTTTTGAAAAAAAATTGGCTAGCAATGATAGGTATCAAAAGTACCAGGCTACCAATGAAAATTTCCTTATAAGAATAAGATAGATTATACTCTCTTTGTTTGTTTGTGTTCTACTTATTAACTCAGGGCCTGTTCGGCATTAGCTTTTAAGGTAGCGGTTAGCTTTTAGACCTAGTCAAAACACTACCTTTAAATAATATTATTGTTTGGTGAAGTAGTGTTTTAAGTAGCTGTTAGAGGTAAAGAGAGCCTTTAAGTAGCTGTTGTTGAAAGCTAAAAAAGATAGCTTTTGAAATTGTAAAGTAGCGTTCAACATTTTTTTTTTTTTTATGAGTATGTTTTTATCTTTTTGACTCAGTGTTATTTGTTTCGGTCAACCATAATGTCAAAATTTTCTATTTCATATCTTTTTTTTCTTTTATTCCTTTCATTATGAGGAGTATTTTTTTTTTCTATCTTTTATTTTATAAATTGATTATTTATTAGCAATATACATTATACTATAAAATTTTAAAAATTATCAAACATATGATACATAACACGTCATAATAATAATAATAATAATAATAATAATAATAATAATAATAATAATAATAATAATAATAATAATAACCTTTTAAATGCCTCATTTTGTAAGAAAAAACCTTTTAAACGATTCTTTGCTAAAAAAAACCACCACGATCACTTTTTTTGTTTAATGAAACCTCACCCCTCTTTTTCGGCATTGACTCTAAAATTAAGGCGTTTGACTCCGAATTTTCCGTACTTGCAGCCATTTTAGGCGTTTTTCCTCTTTCGTTTTTCTCCCAAATTTCCCCTCTATATAATATCCCCAAATCAGTCCAACGAAAAATTAGTGCAAATCTCCCCCAAATCATACCAATTGATAGGTAAATTAGGGTTCTTCAACAATTTGTTCAACAATTGTAGTGCTTAATTCACCATTGTAGCACTCACTCTAGTTCTCCTTTGTCTTCTCTAATTCACTCTACCATTAAACCTGAAACACTCCAACGCAAAAAAAATTGCAGAAATTCAACAAATTAGGGCAACAATTGAACAATTCTAGTGAAGATATTCAACAATCCAAGCAAGTTTTGTGTTATATTTAAGCACCACCACCAAACAACTAGCAACAATCCCTTTCTTCCTCCTTTAGCCATTAACAACAGCAAAAAAGCCCCAATTTTTTTTACAATTTCGAGTCAAGAATTGATGAATTTACACTTACCTCAGGTTGTGGTTGAAGTATTAATGGCGCAGCAGAGGATAGAGAGAAAGAAACCCAATTTGATGTATGGTGTTGCAGAGCATTCATTGAAGAAAGGAAAAAGAGAATGCAGGGGAAAGACTATAGAGGGAAAACAAAGAGGGAGTGCAAGTATAATTACAATTGGGTGTAAGTAGGGAAAATTTGGAGTCAACGCCTGAAATTTAGAGTCAACGCCGGAAATAAGGGATGAGGTTTCATTAAACAAAAAAAGTGATCGTGGTTTTTTTTTAGCAAAGAATCGTTTAAAAGGTTTTTTCTGACAAATTTTAATAATAATAATAATAATAATAATAATAATAATAATAATAATAATAATAATAATAATAATAATAATAATAATAATGACTGTATTTTATAGTTTTAATCGCTACTTTTACTGAACACTCATAGTATGAACCGCTACCTTGAGACTGTAATAGCTACTACTTGACAGCTCACAGCTACTCAAAAGCTGTAGCCAACAGCTACAGCTAATTTTGCCGAACAGACCCTTAGCTGTCATAGTGAATAAAGTAAGAGAAAGTGTGAAAAAATATAATTATTGTGAGGTTGTAGGGGTATGATGGTAAAATGGATAAGCCAAAAATAGAATAAAATAAAGTGTCTAGCGAAAAAGGATGAACTAACTTGTTACTTGTGATATACGGAGAATCAATTTGCGCATGCTCTACGCTAGTATATGGAAATTACTTGAAATTGATGGTTTAGTAAATTGCGCATTGTTATATACTTGTTCCGGTCTTTATTAGTTGACATGTTTTTGGCCTTTGACACTATTCACAAACTTTACTTTTATTACTTTAATGATTTGTAGTTACGATAAAGCATAGTCATATAAGACATTGTTAGAATCCTCTCAATATATAGATATATTCATTGTATCAACTTGTTATAATTTTTACTTTTTAATAATAAGAGATATTAATTGGTAAAGTTGTGTGTTGACAAACTGTAATAGACTAACCAAGGAAGGGTAGTATGGGTATTCTAGTAATGTTAGTTTATTGGGTTAATAGTCCTTTGTATAAATAGAGAGGGAGGGGGAAGAAAAAGTTAGGCAGAAATTTATATGGAAAAACTAGAGTGTTATGGCCTCAAGCCATTGTTAGAGAGTGATAGCCTCGTGCTATTTTGAGAGAGCTATTCACTTAATCATTTTGCAACTTCTTTTGCCATTAAAAATGAAAAAGTTTACTAGGTTAATAGTCCTTTGTATAAATAGAGCGGGAGGGGGAAGAAAAAGTAAGGCAGAAATTTGTATGGAAAAACTAGAGAGTTATGGCCTCAAGCCATTGTTAGATAGTGATAGCCTCAAGCTATTTTGAGAGAAAGCTTTTTACTTAACCATTTTGCAACTTCTTTTGCCATTAAAAATGAAATTTCCAAGCTTTCATCTTAAAATTTCCAATTATTCATTTAAACTTACAAACCAAAATATCAGTCTATAACACAAACGTGATAAAAGAAATATGTCAACTAAATAAGAACGGAGAAATATATATAAATATATTCAACAAGCTTCCAAATAAAATTTTTTAAAAAATTGGAGATGGGTAATTTTTCATATGTTAATGCCACCACCCATTATCATAGTGGGGAATTTGCAAACTTTTACACTATGTTTTAATAGGAATATTTAATGGGAAAGGGAGGGAAGAAGAATTAAGGGATATAATTTTTCTTAGTTGGTTATGACATACAACAAGGGAAGGGAAAGGAAATGGAGCAATGCATTTTCCTTCCCTTTTAATAAATCAAATCCCTCTATTGTTGGAGAGATTTGGAAGGAAAAAAGAAGGTCACAGACTCTCTCTCTCCCTTCACCTCCCTTCTTCCTCTTTTTCCTTCCCCCTTCACTATTGTTATCATACAATATGTTTGGATAGCAATTATGAAGGGAAAGAAAGGGAAGGGAAGTACGAAGAAGGAGAGGGAGAGAGTGAGATTCTATTTTCTTTCCAAATCCTTACAAAATTGAAGGATTTGGTTTATTAAAGGAGAAGGAAAATTATTCCAACTAACTATCACACCTTCCCTCCTTCCATATGCTATCCAAATAAGGGATGACCATTCCCTCCCTTTCTCTTTTTTTCCTTTCCTTCCATTTCTCTCTATCCAAACATGGTGTTAGGCTTCTTTTCATGTCATCTTCCCTTTCATTCATTATCAGTGTGTGTTCTCGATGCCTCTGTTCCTATACAACATTTTCCTTTTGAAGGGCGTAATATATATTTTCTTCATTGAGTGGCTAATATTGAGTGATCTGTCCTCCCTTGAAGGCCGTAATATATAGGCTCTTCATTGAGTGGCTATTATTGAGTGATCTGTCCTCATAATGTACACTTCTATATTATGGAAGGAACTTAATTCTTCCAAGTTCTTACTTAGTTATATCTCTAGTAAAATTTTAAAGTTGATTGGGAATGCTCTACTCAAATAATCTGCTGAAATTGGGAGATATGCCCTATTGGCTCTTTTAATCGATGTAGGTGCTGTAACAAACTAAGGAAGGAAAATTATACTTCGATATGACTGTGCTAAGAAAAATGAAGCCACTGTATGAGGACAAAGTTGTGCACCAAAAAAAAAAAAACTGTATGAGGACAAAGTTAGCACTGACTACTACTGATAAAATAGTACTTCGGTCACATTTGACTTTGGAGGTTAAAGCTCAAAAGTCTATATTCTCTTGGTCATACGTTGTGTGCAAATTTGAGACTCATATTACTTGATAGAATTATCAATTGATATTTCTGGGTTTTTCGTGAGACATTTGACAAAATAATTAGTAATGGTTATGCTGACTAAGCTTGACCATTAAAAGTAAAATTGGCCTGTTATTGTACTCCGTATAAATGTTGAAACAGTGAAATAGCTGAGCTTTCACTAAGTAGGTACTACTGAACTAATGATGATCTTTAAGTAAACATTAATAACTTTGTAAGTTTTTTTTAGAATTGGAAATCTGGTCTGCTCAGATTATTTTTGCTGGGCCTTCTTGGCATATCGCATATTCTTTTTCATTGTCGAGCGTATTAAGGCAAAGTCTTTTTTTCCAAGCCTTTGTTACTGTTGTGTAATGTATTAAGTATTTTTCAGGAAGGAGCATTCCAACGGCAATTTCTGCGGGAGCTGCATTGGCTGCCACTTCTGCCCTCATTGATATTGGTGGTCAGACAACAAGAATTGACAATGGTAAAGAGTACTACCCTTACACTGTCAAGAAAAGGCCTGCACTCACAGAATAAGCTCGTGTTGCTGCTATCGTGTTTCAGAGGCAATGCTTTGGCTTATTCTCAGATAAGATGTATTTTCTTGTGTAATTTCTTTTTGCCTTAGCCTTACTTTAAAACTCGTTAGCCACACATTTGAGTGAATTGTTGAATAAATTTGTACTGCCATTTTGCAAGTTTTTAACTTATTTTGTTTTCCAAACAAAATTAAGGAAAACATTTTGCTGCTTCTTGATATCCTTAAGAGAGCAAGGATGTACAATGAGCGTTAATTCCTGATGTTTACCCACTGTTAGTGCCTTTTCTTACTTGTTAACTAGTCAGTGGCTTTAAACTTGTTAAGGTTGTAAAATTTTTTAAACTCTAGCTGAAAGAATCTAATTTATGAGGCAGCCAGAGCCTATATAATATGTGAATTTCTTTCCGCTGAAGATTCTCATAAATTTTTGAATGCGTGGCAGAAGCAGTTCAAACTTACAGGCTGATCCCTTTTGAGTTTCACTTGTGCATTGTGTGACGCGGATGTTATGAGGTTTGTTTTCAAAGCGAAATGAATAGTTATGGTACATTGGTACTGATTATATTATTGAAAGGTTGGGCTCCATGTTAACTTCTTCTGGGTTAGCACTGCAACCACAATTCAGCTGGATAGCTTGGAAAATTATTTGTAAACCTTAGGATTGGCTACTGGATAGAAAGGGGAGAGAATGAATTTATGCTTGGACCCCTAATAGGAAAAGGACCAGATGATTCTTGAACAAATTTTTTATCCTTGAGCCAATACGTAGGAATTCTTACAAGTGACATATCTTTCATGGATAGAACTAGGTTTGTCCAGGCCTAGAATTGTCTTACAGACTTTTCCTCGGATCGGAGTTATAAGTGATAGTCGTCACCCAAGATCAAGGAGGAAACCACTCTCATGACATGGCACGACTCTAATTAAGCTAGTTGATATATACTTGGTATTTGAAATGAATAAGGATGTTTCTTTGCCAACTTGGTGGGATAAGAAGCCTACAAAGTTCAAGTATAGAAAAATGGGGTTATTATCAAACTCAAACTGCCTTTTCTACCCTATTTATTTTAAAGGTTTTTAATCATATATGTACTCATGAAGTCATAGACTAGACCATTAATTTCAAAGCTTGGCTTGGTCCTTGGAATTGCGCTTTTTGCACCTCATGGCACAATGCTCATAATGCACAATAGTATATGTAGCCTTTAAATGCACCCAATAAAAAGAAGAAATGAATGGATTTTTGTAGACCTTGATCTTGCTTTCAATTGACTGCAATCAAATTTCAAGTCTAGTCAAGTAATAAATGTTGTTTATTAGCCTATTTGTTAGTTTTTACTTTTAATCTAATATATTTAATTTGATGAACCTACCATTTTTTTTGGACTAATCTAATGGATATGTTACAATGTTTTTCATAAATATCCAACTACTCAATAATATGTATGCAGCATATTTTAATAAAATTGTATGTGTTTTTCCTTTTTTTTTTTTTTTTTTTGACAGAAACCGAGCATAGCAAATTTTATTAATCAACCAAATAGTTTAAATCATCAATTACATATTAGAGATACCCAAAGGAACCTCTTCCATCCAAACTCTAAGGCCATCAAAAGAAAGACTTAGTTTTGCTTGCTCATGAGCAATCCGATTGCCATTCCTCTTCACAAATGAGAACGAACAAGCTTGGCAGCGAAGAGCAAGTTGTAGTATATCATTAACAAGGCCAAAAGCTGTAGGAGGAGCCTTTCCTTTCAATAGATGATTGTGAAGCTTCAAGCAGTCCAAACACACCCTACTAAAACCCGAGTCAAGAGTAATAGCCAAAGCGTGTCGCATTGCCAAGGCCTCAGCAACATCAGCCTCAAACTTTCCACTCAATCTTAGGCATGTCGAGACCACAACATCACCCTCCATGTCACGCATCACTCCACCCAGCCCCACGCAATTTGAGCTGGAAACCGGTGCATCAGAATTAACTTCGTATCTTTTGGAGGTGGCAGCCATTGAGATTCCAATTATTGTGGAGTTGAGTTTGTGCTAGTATCATGCTTCGCTTGTTCATAGTCTCCAACAATGCCCACGGCCTTGTATATGATGTCACCCGCATCTCTTCTCCTTCCTTCGAACACCCAAGCGTTTCTTCTCAGCCAAACCCCCCATAGGATACTCCAAAATAAGTTCCACCATGAGGGATCTTTGTGACTTTTACGGACAGAATAGCACCAGTCCCTAAAAGAATCACCGGCTCTTAAAACACATGTTAGGCAACATTATGTTGAACCTAATAATCCATATTTTAACATGGTAACCTTTATTATTCATATTGACCAGTAACTTGAACTTTCATTAATAAAAATTTAACCTCATGTTTTTCTTTTAGAAACCAACCTCTTTTGTTTTTTATAAAAACACAATGAATTTTATTTTAACATAATAACCTTTATTTTAATATAGTAACTTTTTTTTTTTAAAAATTAATAAAACAATCATAGAATCATAGTGCCTATAACAGTACGTAGTAGTTCAAAATAATTTAATGTGAACCAGTTACGTACATTTAAGTTTGTAAAAAAGATGATCACAATAATTATAATGACAAAAGCTAATGAACGCCTAGATACATTGAATAAAATAATTAAAAATAGAAATATTAACTTGATTTGAAATACTACCTCCGTTTCATATTATTTGCAACGATTTGACATAAAGTAGAGAGGAAAAATGTCTAATTGATGCAAATAATATGTAACGGAAGTAATATATATTAATTACACCGATTCATGCATAATTTTGGCATGCATTAATTTCCAAATTAGTACTCCCATCCATCCCTTTTATTAGAAACCTAATTCTCTTTATTATGTGAGTAATAAATATTAAAAATAGGCTTCTAATAAAGGGATAGAGGGAGTACCATATTAGAAAATATGTTAAAAAGTTATTTAACATCCCGGTGATGTACGTTAACAAGATCTGTATTAGCATATATAATATATATTTCCAGATAGTTGGTATGATCGACAATGAATAATAGATACAATAATTTTAGTACGATTGTATGAAAAATATAATCAATAGTACTGTATGCATTAATGTTCATAAACACCTTTTTTTTTTTTTTTTTTTTTTTTTTTTTTTTTTTTTTTTTTAAACCAATGTTCATAAACATTAGTATCACAATATATATGAAGTGTAATATATTATCAACATCTATGCAGTAATAATAATTTCAATAATGCACTCTTGCTAAAATTTACTGCTATCCCTAAATTGATACTCCGTAGTAAAAGTTACTTTGAATTGTTTTTCATTGATAAAATTTATCTCTTTTTACATATTGACCATGTAAAAATTACTCATAATCTAAAGGAAAATTTGCCATGAACTACACACTTAATAGGGGTATTTGGAAACAACTACCCACTAAAAAATTTTATAAAAAAAACTACCCCTAAATTTAAAAGTTAGATTAGCACTACCCATTTGCATTTTCCGACGAGAATGTCTGGCGCATGGGCCCACTTTTTCAATTTTTCTCTGAAAAGACAAGATGCAATGACAAATTGGACCTTAATTCGTAACCCTAAGATAATTAATTTGAATTAAAAGCACAAATTCAACCAATTTCAAATTATCCCCAATTTCTAAGAACCCGAATTTTTCTAATCGTTACACCCTAACATCAAAATTCATAATTAATGGATTAAAAAGAAAAGAATTACCTATGAATTGCATACCCTACTTGTTTTCACTTCTTCAAATAGGAATTTTCAGAAGAAAAATTGAAAAAGTGGGTCCTACACGCCGGACTTTCTCGCCGGAAAATGCAAATGGGTAGTGCTACTCAAACTTTTAAAATTTAGAGGATAATTTTTTTGATAAAATTTTTTAGTGAGTATTTGTTTCCAAATACCCCCATTAAGCTTGTAGTTCCTGACAATTTTTCCTAATCTAAAATTTAAAATACTTTATTTCCAAAAAAAAAAAAAAAAAAAAAAAAAAAAAACCTTAATCGAAACATAAAATCAATAAAAACATACTAAAGCATGTAGTACAAAAAATTTTTAGTCCTTTCTCAAAATAGTCATTAATCGAAAACCCATATTCATACCGATTGTAGTCGTTGTACAAGCCCACGCGTTAGCAACTAATTTTCTTTCCAAAAAAAAAAATAAAATAGCAACTAACCCTGAAATACAAAGAAATTACTCCAAAAAAAAAAAAAAAAAAACAAAGATAATAAAAAAAAAGATTAGGCAATATGTTGCTAGCACATATTAACAACAGATTAATTAATAAAGATTATGATATAGGTGTATGGCAAATGCATATACTTGAAGAGAAAGAACAATAGATGTAATCAATCCATACGACGTAGAGTGTTTTCCCGTATTTCTTCTTCGATTTGTTTGTGTGATTTGTAGGGTTGATTTATGGCTCGATCTCTCTTTGCGTCAAGAAAAGACACCACATTGTATGGATTGATTACATCTAACACTACTTAACCCTTCAAAGATATGCACTTTGCCATACATCCATATCGAAAATCTTAAGCGTTACAAATAATTAGTTACGATTTCTATGAGTCCGAAACACAAAAATAAGAAGACAAATTATAATTCAAAAGAGTAATAACAATGTTTTGTTGAGAGAATATGATACCTCAATAATTCTTATGATGAAGCTGAGTTCTTTGCTTGCGGAAATAATATCACCAACACATATTTTTTAACAGTTCGTTATGCAAATATATATCCAATTGTTAGACATAAACCGACTTTTTTTTTTTAAGGAATAAATGAACCGACCTTTTCTTTTTGGGAATAAATTATTTTATTTATCATCATCAACGTTGGTAGGACGCGATGTCGTGTCGTCAATAATGTGATAAAGAAGATTGTATGCCCTAGCTGTGTTGCGGAAGAAACAAGAGGAATTAAGAGAAGAAATGAAATTGGGGAAATACGTAATTATATATTTATATATATACTTAACATAATGAACGAACATTTTTATATTCCTTGGTGCACAAAAATGAAATTGGGAAAATATGTAGTATATCATTATTGATAGATATTATAGTATTACGATAATATTTGTGGCAGAGCTAGGATATATTTGTATATTTTTGTGATATAGTTTGTATTCTTATCGAATTAGGTTTCCAGTCATGTAACATCGTATCAGAGCTTAGGTCTTCGATCTAGCTTCCGCAAAAATTTTCAACTTTTATGATCCGCACCCTGAACAATATCAAACACACTCTTTATGCTCTTGAAACCGCAACCTATCTACTCAATATTTTGCCAACAAAAGCACTCAAAAACATAACCCCATTTGAAGCTCTTTTTCATAAAATTCCATCTTATGATCACCTTCGAGTGTTTGGTTGTCTATGTTCCCATATCTTTTGTCTACTTCTCTACATAAGCTTGCTCCTCGTTCCACGCCATGTGTGTTTTTGGGATATCCTAGTAACCATAGGGGGTATAGGTGTCTTGATATAAGCACAAATAAATACATATTTTCTCGCCATGTCACGTTTGATGAACAATCTTTTCCATACGTGAACTTAGGAAAATATAAACTTGAGGATTATAAGTTTTTAGGCTTTGATGAAAGATCTCCCATCATTACTCACAATATAATCCGTTTTGGCAATTCTTTTGGCTCAAACAATCATAATTCACCCTCCCAGCCCATCCCGCAACAACCTCGCGGCCCAAATCCACACTCCGTGGCCCAACCTAGTTCTTACATAGTTCTCCCGAGGCCCAATTGCGGACTGGGCTATCCAACAACTCTTCCTCCCTTCCTCCTTTAGTTGCTGACCCAAATTCCCCTCAAGCCCACTCTCCTATCTTTACAGCTAGCCCATCTCAAAATACTAGCCTTTATTCCCCTCCACCCATGCGTGGGATACAACCAATCCAACCCACGAGACCTCCACCTCCCTCACCGCCTATCACTCGAAGTCAACGAGGTATTTTTAAACCAAACCCCAAGTATCATCAAGCTAATATGACAATCCCTTCTCATAAATCACCGCTCCCTAAGACATATAAAAATGCTTTTAATGATCCTAACTGGAATGCGGCGATGCAGGATGAATATGATGCTCTTATTAAAACAGGGACTTGGGATTTGGTACCTAGGCCTACGGGGGTGAACATTGTTAATTGTATGTGGTTATTTAAACACAAGTATAAGTCTAATGGTGACCTTGAAAGGCACAAACCTCGTCTTGTTTGTGATGGCAGGTCGCAGGAAGTTGGTGTGGATTGTGATGAGACTTTTTAGTCCGGTAGTTAAACCAGCCACTATTCGTACTGTTCTCAGCCTAGCTATGGGTAAAAAGTGGCCGATTCATCAATTTGATGTCAAAAATGCCTTTTTACATGGTGAGTTGCAGGAAACTGTTTATATGCATCAACCTTCGGGTTTTGTTGATCGGGAACACCCTCCCATGTATGTCGACTTCGTAAGGCTCTATATGGGTTGAAACAAGCTCCTCGAGCTTGGTACCAGCGCTTTGCGAATGTTTTAGTCAAATTGGGGTTTGTTATTGCTAAGAGTGACACCTCTCTTTTCACTTTCTGACAGGGTGATGATATGGCATATTTGCTTCTATTTGTTGATGATATTATTTTAGCTACCTCATCTGACAGGTTGCGTACAAGGATCATTTCTCAGTTACAAACTGAGTTCCCTATGTTTGATCTGGGGCCTCTGAGTTATTTCTTAGGGATTGCAGTAACCCGTACTCCTTCTTATTTGCTACTTTCACAGGAAAAGTATGCACATGAGATTTTAGAGCATGCAGGTATGACCTATTGTAAACCTGCAGCCACTCCAGTTGACACTAAGTCCAAACTTAGTGCAGATGCAAGACCACATTTTTGGGATCCTACTTTGTATTGTAGTTTAGCAGGTGCTCTTCAGTACCTCACCTTCACCGGGCCAGTATTGCCTATGCAGTACAACAAGTGTGTCTTTTCATGCAT